CTGGTATGGTGGGAGCAGGCTGGGCCGTACCAGCGTGGGGCTGGGACACCAGGATGGGGATGCTGGGATGGGACGTCGGGATGGGGACACCGGGACGGGACACCAGGCTGGTGGTACTGAGATGGGACACTGGGATGGGACCTGAAATGGGGACGCTGGGCTGGCACACCGGGATGAGGGCATTGGGCTGGGGACATCGGGATGGGACACCAGGGTGGGGATATTGGGATGGAGGGCACCAGCATGGGACACCAGGATGGGACACTGGGATGGTGCACCAGGGTGGGGACATTGGGATGGGGACACCAGGGTGGGGCACTGGGATGGGACACACTGGGCTGGGACCTGAGATGGGGACATTGGGATGGGACATCAGGATGGGACGTCAGGATGGGGCATGGGGCTGGGACACCAGGATGGGGGCTTTGGGATTGGGCACTGGAATGGGGCACCAGCATAGGACGTTTGGATGGGGACGATGGGATGGGGCACCAGGATGGTACCTGAAATGGGGACATCGGGATGGGGCACTGGGCTGGGACACAAGGATGGGGTACCAGGATGGGAGGTACCTAATGGGGACATCAGGATGGGGCACTGGGCTGGGACACCAGGATGAAGATATTGGGATGGGGACACAGGGACGGGACACAGGGACGGGACATTGGGATAAGACACCAGCATGGGACATTGGGATGGGACACAGAGATGGGACGTTGGGAAGGGACACCAGGATGGGACACTGGGATGGTCGGCACCGGGATGGGACACTGGGCTGGGACACAAGGATGGGGTACCAGGATGGGACACCAAGATGGGGACATTGGTTTGGGACGGCAGGATGGGGACACTGGGCTGGAAAACAGATTTGGGACATCGGGCTGTGACACTGGACTGGGATACTGGGGTGGGACATTCCGATGGGATACCAGGTTGGGACATCAGGCTGGGACACTGAAATGGGACACGGGGCTGGGACACGGGGCTGTGTCCCCAGGAGCCCAGCCATTGCTGTGAGGG